TTCTTTCTCACCAACCTGTAGTCAAGGAACATGGCACTACCAAAGTACGTCCAGTGTTCGATTCGTCTGCTAGGCAAATTGGATCTCCATCTTTGAACCAGTGTCTGTTATCCGGTCCCAATTTATTAGAACTCATTCCAAGTCTTTTTCTGAGATTTAGAGAAATTAAATAATGGTGTTATTGCATATATTGAAAAGGCCTTTTTGCAAGTGAGCGTTCGGCCGGAAGAACGAAACTATTTGAGATTCTTCTGGTGGAATGATAGCGATTGTAAAGAAATTAAGGTAATGCAACACAACAGATTGGTCTTTGGTGTAAAGAGTAGCCCTTTTCATTTGGGAGCAGTCTTAGATTATCATTTAGGAAAGTATTTGAATGATTCCAGGTATAATCAAGATTATGTTAAAATTCTTCCTTTGAGTTTCTATGTGTATAATTTGGTAACGAGCTTAAATGATACATGGGATATATTACCCTTCATTTAGACGTCTCAAGCCACGCTGAGTTAAGGAAAATTCAATTTGAGAGGCTGGCAGTTCATCAATGATAATGGTCCTCAACCATTTACTTCTGTATTAGGACTTTTATGGGATAGAAAAAAGGATATGCTGATGATAAATCTGGACTGGTTAGACAGCTATAAATTTGAAACTTTGTCCAAAAGAATAATTAGTTCCGTCACTCATAAGGTGTTGATCCAGTTGTTTTATTATTTGCTGATACACAAATTGTTATTGCAAAAGATGTGGAAAGGAAGCAAACATTAGTCAACACTAATATAAAAGAAGAATTTATAAGCTGGTTTATCAGAACTTCATTTGCCAAAGGAAGACACCGTATCTCAGTGTTTTTCAATTGATTCAGGTAGACAAAACATTTCTCTGCATACGTTTTGTGATGCTAGTCATTCGGCCTTCGCAGCAGCTGTTTACATTCGTGTGGAGACATCGGAGAAGTCCAAGTTCATCTCTTAGCAAGCTTAGAGTGGCTTCTGTAAAACCCATGACTATCCCTCGATTGGAGCTGATGGCTGCTATGGTGGGAGCTCATTTATATGCATCTGTTGTGGAAGGGCTTCAATGGAAAGATGTTAAACAGCATTATTGGACTGACTCAACGGTTGTTTTAGGGCGGATTCAATGTAAAGAATCTTGGACAGTATTTGTGAAGAACAGAGTGAATGAGATAAATAGTTTAACGGATCCCCTTGCATGGAAACACCTTCCTGGGATTCAGAATCCAGCTGATTTGCCTTTTCGGGGATGTTCCGCTAGACAACTGTTATCAAGCAAATGGTGGGAGAGACCCACTTGGTTATTAGAACCTTCTTCTAACTGGCCCATCACAGAACAAAATTTTGGTGAACAGTTTATAGATAAGGAAAAGAGAAAAATAAAATCTGATGGGCATTCTTCTATCTGTTCTCTAAGTTACTCACATACTTGTAGCTGCAAAACTTATGGAAAAAAAAAATGGATGCAGACATTACGGATCAAGTTGGTATTATTATTATTTTCAAGCTATGGCAAAGTGATACAGTTGATTACTTGGATAAAAAGATTTATCTTTAATTGTCTAAATGCAAAGTCTTCGTGAATTATTGGAGAGTTATCCTATGAAGAAGTCAAAAATGCAGAAAAGAAAGTCATATTATTAATACAAAACGAATACTTTTCTGATCATTTAAACAAAAGAAAATTAGAATCTTTGGCAACGTACAAGGACGAAGAAGGAATTATTAGACTGCGAACAAAAATTACATTTCGGACGGATACAGAGAATTTAAACATCCTTTTGTTTTACCGGGAGAACATCAGACTGTCAAAAGGTTAAATATAACAGAAAACCAGAAGAACTCTCATGCTGGTTCTCAAATATTGTTGAGTATTCTAGGAGAACATTATTGGATTTTAAACGTGAAAAAAGTCATTAGATCTCTTTTATCCAAATGTGTTACATGTTTAAGATACGCAAAGAGAAATTTAACAGCACCGATATCTGCATTACCAGGAAATCGCTAAGAGATGCATCTATTTTTGAAATTATTGGAATTGATATGGCTGGACCTGTGTATTTAAGAGAAGAAGCAAAGGCTTGGATTTGCATATATACGTGTGCTGTGTACAGAGCTGTCCATTTTGAGGTCAGTTCCTCACTGTCTACAGAGGCTTTTCTTCAGAGTTTCCGTCGATTTATTGCCCACAGAGGCCGTCCTTCTCTAGTTTATTGTGACAACGGAAGCAACTTTGTTGGAGCATCAAATTGTTTGAAACTCGTTGATTAGAATGTCGTTGCTCAGTACACCACCACTAGGAAATCCAGTGGTTTTTCAATCCCTAAACTGCCTCTTAGTGGGGCGGTTTTGGGGAGCGATTAGTTGGATTGATGAAACAAATTCTTAGAAGAGTTTTTTAAAAATCGCTGCTGTCTTTTGAAGAAGCGATTAGTTGGATTGATGAAACAAATTATTAGAAGAGTTTTTTAAAAATCGCTGCTGTCTTTTGAAGAAATGACAACAGTATTGTGTGATGCAGAATTTGTTATTAACTCTCGTCCACTTACCTGTGTTTCAGAAAAGGAGTCTGAACTTGTTCCTTTATCTAACTCATTTTTACAAGATTTCCGAAAGTCAGGCGTTCCTGATTTGGATGAGATTGATCAGCATTCCCTCAACAAGAGATTAAAGTATCGTTAACAACAAATCACGGATATACGAAAAAGATTCAGATCTAAATATCTAGGACTTTTGATTCAAAGACATGATCCGAAGAAGCATGAACAAAGTATCAAACTTGGAGACGTAATTCTTGTTGGAAGTGATAATGTTAAAGGTACTGAGTGGCCATTAGCTGTTATTATTGAATTGTTACCTGGAAGAGACATCATTAGACTGGTACGATTGAAAACTACAAGTGGACAACTTTTACGTCCCGTACAAAGAATTTTTCCATTAGAACTTTCATGCAATTGGTTCGAAGATCTAAAAAATAAAAGATTTGAACAAGCTAGAGTTGAAGGGTATTCAGTGGAAAACAGCCAAAAAGATATAAAATCTGTAAAAACCAGGAGTGGAAGAGAAGTCAGGCCTATCCAAAGACTAGACTTTATAAATGTCTGGACTTTAATTCAGTTCTTTTATGTTTTTCCATTTAATTTTAAGTTTTTTTTTTTTTTTTTTTTTTAAATATTTCTAATAGGTTAAGTTGTTTCCCAACAACTTAAGGTGGGAGAATGTTGGATTTCAAATGAATGTAGTTTTTATTTTATACATGCTTCAATTTTACTTTACTGACTTTCGTGTAATTTTTTATTTTAATCTCGTTCGGCCACTAATAATTATTGTTGGTTTAGTTTCTTAGAAGTGGCAACAAAACAATTTATAGAATTAGGAAAATGTTTTTCTATTTTAGTTAGGCTTATTGAAGAAGAATGACTGTTACCTGAGTATTACCACATATACCTGAGTGATGTTTTATTAAATAAGTGAATACTTTAGAATATTTTTAGTAGTCTTTTAGAGTCTGTGATACCGCTGATAGCTTAATAGTTTTTTTGACGCGTAAGCGAACAGGTTAAGTCCGTGCCTTGCTTTTCTTCCAAGAGATTGTGAATTTGATCCTAGGTCGAACTCTTTTGCAAAAGATAATCACTTGGACTTTTTTATGGTGCTACTTTGGTAGGCGGTTGCACGGATTTTGGCGAGCAATATGACTTATGGTGTAAGAGTAGAGCCTTTAATTCTTTTAAACATTCTTATGATGGTTTTTAATTCGATATTCAATTTAAGTAATATTGTAAACCAATTAAACGTTGGCGCAATGTTTTTATTCTATTTATTTGGCTATATGAAAGTAATAATTTAACCTTACTTTGTTTATTTACATTTGCTTGCCATCTTAAAAAACAACGTTTTCAACAAAAAAAACAATCCATTATTTTTAAAGGTATTTATGTTTTTAAAGTTTCGAATACTTTATTATGCGTAAAATACGTAAAAACAGCGTTTTTCAAGATGGCTGACGATTGTAAAAACCGCGCCTACAATTGCGCCAAAGTAAATCGCAAAAAATCCGTGCAACCGTCTACCAAAGTAGCACCTTTTTTTTTATTATTCCGTGCTTATTTTATGATTTTTAGTCCAAAGGGGCTTTGTCCCTGAAGGACTATTGTTTTCATTTTGTGATTTTGCGTCGATTGACTACAAACGGCGAATCACTTTTCAAACTGTTGCCACAAAGTATTATCGCCCTGTGTTATATTTAAAGAAATTAAATAATGAAAAATCTGCATAAATGTATGTATATTTCTCGCATTGGGATAAATTGTACATAGAGCCATCGAATTTTAAATGACGTAATCCTCTTATGAATATGGGCATGTGGAACACCAAATTTGGAATTTGTTTTATTATCGATTTCCTATTTTGTAAAACTTTAACGAATTTTTAATTAACAAACTGAAAGATTTCAAAGCGAGCAATGGCAATGTTGTACGGAAGAAACATTTTTATCTCCAGCGCATGATTCTCTATATCGGAAATTCTAAAGATATGCTCAATTTAAAACTGTTTTGTGATATTGCTGTTGAACTGAATTTTATGTTTAAGTATGAAGAACGTGATATTTAATAAGTAAATGTAACACACAAAATGTTTTAAAAATGCTCCTTTGTACGTAATTTAAAATCTGAAACATTTCAGATTTTGATTTTTATGCAAGATATACTGATACTAGGAAGCTGACCATCAGTACAAGTAATTGGCGGGACTTTTTAAACTCAAGAAGAATTCATCTGCCATAATGACCTCTTTTCCCATATAATTGCTCAAGTCATCGAAGTTTTACCGTTTATCGGATTTTTCCAAAATTTTATGTTTTCAGGTTATGGAGCTCAAGTGGTATATATGAGTAAAGGTCTCCGGACCAAATACTTCGCAACAAAACTGCGGATCTACCAAGTAATAAAATGAATGAGATGTAACGCTGTAAAGGGAATCTAGCGCTGGAGTGTCGCTATGGTAAATAAATATAGTGAGTGTATTTATTCTATTGTGGTTTATGCGCTATCGACAAAGTAGATTTAATTCAGTTTAATAAGTTTAAATGAAATGCATATAATTTAATATTCCGTACAAGGAAGTCATGTGGTGTACACATCAGATTTTGGTGCTACTTTGGTAGACGGTTGCACGGATTTTGGCGAGTAATACGACTTATGGTAAACCCATTGCTGGACAAGTTATTTATGGTAACCGATACTTTGTTGTCATTTTATCTAAAAAATAATGCTTTTTATTATGCATAAATTCAGTGTTTTAAATATTATTTATGGCTTCTAATCAATTTAATTTTTATTTCAAATAAAAATTTTGTTTATGATATTTTATGAAATTTTATTTTGTGGATGATGTAATCAATGACGTCACCTTATTTTAAAAGTAATTAGTTTTAATATCTATAAATTTAATCTAATGTTTTAAACATTATTTATGGCAGTTAAATATTAAAATACAATTTAATTTTACATTTTTTAAAAAAATTATTTATTATGAATGATTATTTAAATAATTTTAATTCTATGCGTGATGTAATCAGCTCCTTGATTGGTTACTGAATATTTGTGCATTACTGCGCCATTTTAAAATTTTATTATTCATCTCTTCGAATTCCTCAGATTTCAAAGCGAATGGATATGTCCTTGTCAAAGATTAATGTTGTTATTGGTAATTAACAAGAATTATTCGTATCGGAATAAAAAAATTGCCCTTTTAGAACTCATTTTGGCCAACCTGTCTTTCCTAATCAAAGATTTATTTATAAATTGTAACAAAGAATCAGGGGAAATTTATTTTAAATTTTTGGAGGAAACCTTGGTAATTGCTTCTTCAATGAAGTGCGAGAGATGTAGATGCAAGATGAAGTGTTTTTTTTTTTTTTTTTTTTTTTTTGTAGTTATCAAAATACGACTTTAAAAAAATTTAATCACATATTTTTTATTTTACTTTATAATTGTATATTTCAATTTTATTAAAAAATTAATACATTGTTTTCAAAAATTCCGTCCCGAGATATTTATTGCCACATGTATGTTTTAATGTTAAATAATTATATCCTATAAAACTTATTTTAAAGTATTTAAATTTAACTAATATTTAATTCTTTTAAAAGTTAATATGATGTTTTTAATTCGATATTCAATTTAAGTAATATTTTAATCCAATTAAATGTTGGCGCAATGTTTTTATAGTGGTGTTTTTATTCTATTATATGAAAGTAATAATTTAACCTTACTTTAGCATTTTATACTCTTAGTAAATTTATTTATTTACATTTGCCAGCCATCTTAAAAACAACGTTTTCAACAGAAAATTAATCCATTATTTTTAACGATATTTATTTTTTTAAAGTTTCGAATACTTTGCATAAAATACGTAAAAACAGCATTTTTCAAAATGGCTGACAACTATAAATACCGCGCCAACAATTGCGCCAATATAAATCGTCAAAAATCCGTGCAACCGTCTACCAAAGTAGTACCCAAATTTTTTTTTTTTTTTTTATTATTTTATTTAGGTAATCTAGTGGTGTTAAAACGTTTAAACTTGAATATGCTACAGAAAATAAAACCGTTAATTAACTCCCTTATTGAAATTAAAGTTCTTACCTTGATTTCTGTTATATGTACAGTTATTGAATGGATTATTTATTTCAATTCTTAATGATAAATGTTTATAAAAGAAGAAATAGGCATTTACGTCATGATGAATGATTTATTAACAGTACAAATCGTTTCATTTTGTTCTATGTATATATGCTGGTGATAAGATCATTTATCGAAGAAAATTTTTTTTTTTCTTAAGTTCCCAAAGAAGAAATTCTAGTTTGTAGTGAAGATTTTGACTGTAATTAAACGTGTACTTTAGCTTTAAATATGCATACCGTGAACCATCTGCTGTTTCATTATCGTAAAATTAATTACCTTATCGCCAGAAAGAACAAACAACTTAACGACAAGTGGAAATTTCCTTATCACATTCCATCATTAAAAAGCTGAAACTTTTAGCTGAAAGAAAGGTATGAACTATTTATCGTCTCTACATTCATTCCTCCTTTTTCCTTAATGTTATTCTAAACCTTGCTATCAAATAATTCAGCATAGAATTTCGATATTTGGAAAACAAAGTTCGGACGTATAATTCAAACCTTCTCCTAATCAAATAAAAAAAAAAAGTCTATGGAGAGCGATGAGAAAGAAAAAAAAATATTTTGGGTTATTATATCAGTTTCTAAAACTATAATAACTGGGTTCGCAACCTTCCATTTAACGTGTCATGTTACTTTTTACGGTCGTGGCTTATGGGTAGCCATCTTTGTTTATTGCAGACGACCAATTAACAACAAACTGCATTATCTATCTTTCCTCGTAGCGTAGTTAGTTACTTGTCATGAGTATGATTATAGGTTATACTATGTTTCGCGTGACAGCTCAGCGGTCTGTGATAGATATAGGATAAGATTTAATTGCTTGGGGAGCTTTATTTTGAATGAAATACACGTCGCTTGAAAGGTGTCAAGTGCGTGCATGTAATTCATATCTGGAGGGCGTTAAAGGGGTAAAATTTAGAGGCTTTCGCGTATCGTAGTCTTTTTCAAAATTGGATCGGGAATTACTGTTAGGTGATAAGCATAATATATATAAACAAATAAAACGAAAAGAGAAATGAATATGAGACGAAGAATCTGTAGCCAAAAGAATCAACTGCCGTGTCATTTACAATTATGGCTCATACGTTTATAGAAAAGATGGAGGGGAAAATCATAATTATTTTATTTTAGTTAAAAGCAAATGTGAAACTTAAATTTCGAACAATCATAAGAGCCCTTTATTAACCATAAGATAAGTAAAATGAATAGATTATTTTAATAGAGAAAAACCACAACAGCTATTTGCCTAATAGGAGAAGCACTTTTGTGGAGGACTTAGTGGGGAAACCGTCTTTGTTACACATTGGAAAAACCACGTAATCAAACCATGCTGCCAGACCGTTTGCTTAGGATCGAAGCCAAACCGGGTCACACTACCAATAGTCAGCGGTTTTAAACACTCGGCGAAGTAAAATTATTAAACTGACTTCTTGCAACAAAACCTGAAGTAAAACCAGACTGTGTATAAAAATAAAATCTGATAAGCAAACTATTAAAAAAATCGGGTGAAAAAAATTTTTTTACATGAAATAAATTTAACAATACTAAATAATTCAATAACCTATAAATTTTTTATTCACCTTTCTGATTTTCCTATTGAATATTGGGTACTATTCTGTTTCGAGGGCCATAAAAAATCGCGAAATTATCGTTGATGCCAATGCTGCCAAAAAGAATTGCGGCAAGAAAGGAAGTATAACTATCTAAGATTGATGTTTTAAAAAATTTAGAAAGGTGTATTTCATATAATACTTTTTTATTATTATAATTTATATGAAAAAGGCTAAACATGACTGAATGGAAGCATAAGAGTAAATAAGTATTTCAGATCATTATTATAATTTATATAAAAATTGCTAAACATAACTAAATGGATGTCTGCATCGCTATTTCGCTACCGACTTATCGCTAAAGCATAATTTCATCTCCTTGGCTGTTCAAACGCAATTTTCTATAATGAATGATGCCTTTTCTTTGAAAATATTCTCGGTAAAGTGCAGAATCGCTCACTTATTTGTTTGCCGCTTTTTACAAGGGTAAAAACAGTTGGATTTTTGTCAATTTTCTTTTACTTTTTAAGTGAAAATAGGTCAATGTGTACATAGCTAAAGTCAAGAGTGTGCGCAGTGCCATTTTTGTGCAATTCTAGGATTTTTTTAAGTGAAAATAGGTCGATGTGCACATGGATGCTGAGTATGTGCAATTCTTAAAAACGCGTCAAGCAGTGGGTGATTCTGCACTTTACCCAAAATTTTATTGCCGACTTTTCGTCATGCGCAATTCCCAAATTGTTAAATCCATAGGATATCAAAAAAGGATTTAAAAATTAAACTAGTATTTCAATGGCGTCTTAAGAAATATAGAACTATATATAAACTTACGTAATCTGAAATCAACGCGTACGCTAGATTTGGCGCTTTTGCGCATACATTTTCGCTGCAATTTTTTACGGCCCTCAAAACAGAATAGTACCGAATATTATTGTAATCGATTTTTCTGAAGCTGTAAGACTGATATATTTGCATCATAGATCTTAGGGCATCAAAGAAAGGGGGTATCCCGAAATTTCTCAAAAACCAGTTTCACCGTAAAATGAATGGAGGGAGAGAGAGAGGGAAAAAAATGGTGTTAAATGTTCATGAGGGCACACAAGTCTTTTACATAGAGCTGTAATGTACACTGCTCAAAAAAGAAAAAAAAGTGGGATCTCCCGTTGTACTGGGCCGATTCACGAAATTCAAATTGCGTTCTTTATGTCTCGAAAGCACGACTTAGGATATATATTAGATTTATATATAACACTATTCTAACATAGGTATTTTGACACAACATCCGACTTTTTCTAAAATAGCATAGCTTTTTTTTTTTTTTTTTTTTCATATTTCGATTCTACGACTCAAATTATGCCTAAATACTAAATTTTGGGGCAAAATTCAACAGTTTATGTTGGTGCTTTTTTTTTTTTTTTTTTTTTTTTTTTTTTTTTTTTTTTTTTTCCAGTTGCGCCAAGAATAGTTTAGTTGGCAAACTTCTTAATATGACAACCTATTTTCCTTTCTCTTTCTACCTCGTGCGTGATGTGGAAAAAAGTCACGATCGTCCCCCCCCCCTTTTTTTTTTTTTTCCCCAGATAATGATCTTTATATTATATTTTTAATTATAATTGTTATCATTTTAAATATTTTTTCTTTTTCGAATTTCATTTTAATTGTTTAAGTTGTATGGTTTCTTTCGAATAACTGTTTTAAAAATTTCTATTTACTCATTCGAACTGTGTAGTTTAAATCAAAGGTGCATCGCTTATTTATTTATTTATTTATTTATTTATTTATTTATTTTTTCAAATAGTTTTCTTTATTCTGTATTTTTAGTCATAGTTACTATATTAGGTAATTTTTTCAATTTTTAGATTTTTATTTTAATTTATAGTGTTGCATTGTCTCTTCAGATAATTATTTTAAAATTTTCTATTTATTCATTCGAACTGAGCAATTTAAATATATTTATTAATATACATCTTCCAGAATTTCATTTTATTTATTTGAATTGTGTTTCTTTCGGAAAAATACTTTGTAAACCAGACTACGATGCATTTGAAAACTGCATATATTAAAAGAGAAAATATAGTAAAGCACAGCTAACACACCTTTCAATGTTCCTTTCAGAAAATATATATATAAATAAGAGAGATGTATAACCGACATTTTAACTTAGGATGACTTGCATAGACTGATTTAACAGTTTATCATTGTGCCCATTGCTTTACACAATTTATCCTACAATTGGTTTCTTAAATTTTATTCATATTTGTCAAATATTTTATTTTTGAAATTGCAAGAGTCAAATATCATAAGATTAAAAAGTTTTAAATTAAAAACAAATACTAAAATTTTACGCAAAAATTTATTTTTTTAGGCATTCTTCTCTTCATTCATTCTGCTCTTTTTTCTTTAGGCATTCTGAAAGTATATTGAAAAGCATCCAACTTTTCGAAACATCTTGGTATTTCTGACAATCATTTTGAATAAAGTTATCACCTTCCATTTCATAAAGGCCCACAAACAGCGGAGCAGTATAGTCACTGAACACTGGTAGTTCACTCCGGGGTTCGAATCCCGGTAAACGGGCTGGTTGCATGAATGTTTTCGTGGATTTTCTCATGTGTAACGTGTATGCCAGCTGGTTTCCCTTAGAAAGTTCTTGACGAAGGCATCCTTCCTTTTAGCCAGATAGCCCTGCTTTGCTGTAACTTAATAATCCAATCCAATCCATTTCATCAGTATTTGGTCAGAGCCTTTATTAGTCTTTAGAGGCTAAGCATTTTGAAGGTTTGACATGAAAGGAAAGACTGGTTTCATCAAGAGGTTTTGAATTATTTAATTATGACAAAGCACACTAGAGCTATCTGCCTAAGAGGAGGGATGCCTTCGTGGAGGACTTTCTATGGGGAACTGGCTCATATACACGTTACACATGGGGAAAACCATGAAAATACCCATGCAGCCAGCCTGTTCCCGGGATTCGAACCTCGGACCGAACTACCAGTGTTTAGCGACTTTACTGCTCAGTCACTGTTTTCTCAGAAGGGAAAAAAATATATCTTTAGGTGACATCCACATACATCACTGGATAAACTCTTGAATCTTCAAATAGTCGACTGAGATCATGGGATTCTACATATGATGATTATAATATTAAAATTTATACAACCATATAGTCCTAAACCATTCGCCCTTCACTTTAATCTGCAATGATATTGTGTTTGTCTTTTCTGTTAACACAAGCTCAATTGATGGTATTTGCTTATGTACACGTCCAAGTATTTTCTCTTTGAACACCTAAATTCTTTGAAATCCTGAAAGTATATTCAAAAGCGTCCAACTATTTTAAACATCTTGGTATGTCTGACAGCCAAATTTCCCTGAAAATTTTTGCTTACTTTTCTCCCAATTTTCTTCTCTCCTTCTACAGTTATTTTCAGTGCTCACACAAGAAAATTAAGATTTTTCAATTGCTAGACTTCCATAAATTTTTCATCTTTTCAATTTTTTTAAAATAACAATTACATCAAATGCGTTTCAGCTGAAGATAGCTTTTCATTTTCTAGTCATTTTAGCTATAAATAAAATTTAAAAGCTATAAATAAAATTTTTTTTTTAAGGTTGCTTTGAAGACGAAAATGTCTCTCATGTAGAAGGAGATATAAATCCTGTTCGAGACATAGAAATCATTAATGAAGAACTGCGACTCAAAGATGAGGAATATCTAATTAACATAGTAGACAAACTTGAAAGGACAGTTATTAGAGGTGGTGATAAAAAGTCAAAACCAGAATATGTAAGGAAATTTCATTTTTGAATAGCACATAATGCAGATTATAATTTTCAGAAATTCTTTATAAATCTGTTAATTTTATATTATAGGATGTTCTATGTAAAATTAAACATTTAGTTGTGGAGGAGAAGAGACATGTCAGATTTGCCGATTGGAATGCTGCTGAAGTAAGTTAAATATTAAAAAATGTCTATAGCTAAGTCGTTTTCTTTTGGGGGGGGTGCGAAGCATCATGTTATACAACTAAATTACTAGTTAGTCTTTACAATGAGCATTTATGAAGCCTAGCAAGACTGCCAGTTCTGAAAGTTGTTGCCATTCCACAATGTGTAACCATCGTTGATTTGTGTTTCAGATTATAACACTCCAGTAGTTATCAGTATAATAAATTTAATGATTTAAAAACAGTATTTGTATAATTCTTAGTAATATCATTATAGTTTACAAGATTACTGTATTTAATAAAACATTTAAAATGCTCTATACAGTACAAGACAAAACATCTGCAAAACCTGTCAAAATGTAAACAATAAAATTCTGGTTAATAAGACTATGAAAAACTTTAAAATTAAAAATTATGAAATGTAACGCTGTTAAGTGAACCTAATGCCAGAATGTTGCTATGGTAAACAAATACAGTGAATTTTAAAGAGTGCATTTATTCTATTGTGTTTTAGTGCTATCAACAAAGTAGATTTAATTCAATGCAATAAGTTTAAATGAAATGCAAGAAGAAATGCGTATAATTTAATATTCCGTGCAAGGAAGTCGTGGTGTACACATCAGAATTTTTTTTTTTTTTTTTTTTTTTTTTTTTTTTTTTTTTATGATAGTTATTTTTATACATTTAACTATTTTGTGGGTGCATAAGTGAACAATTTGAGCAAGGTTCTATCCTGATTGCCATTTATCAGTTATGACTCTGGGTCATTTCTAAATGAGTTTTATTGTCCTCTGAATCGTAAAATTTAATGTTTATGATAATTTTGTCATATATTAGCAATGTTAAGTTAAAAGTACTGTCTTAGTGTCTTTGTGCTTTTTTATGGGAAACTTTCGGAAAAATACTGCTTTATTAATTCTACCTTTATCCAAAATACCACATGCTGTTTACATTGTATTTTAATAAGAGAAAACTGCAAAATAAAATTTTTTTAGCCATTCTATTTTATCATGTATTTAAACTAGAATAAAACTAACTGCATATAACATAGTCATCTACTTCTTTTTGCTTTTAAAAGTATGTATTAATTTACATGTTGTTATCAAGATATACAGAAAATTTATGGTACAATCACTGCGCATTTCCAGTGCTTTTTAAGGATTTATGAAATATTGTAAGTTTTTTAATTTTTGAGTTCCTATTGCAGTTTATGGATGAAACAGCCATTATTTTGCTAAATAGTAAGTTATGATCTCTTATGATATACCATTAATTACTCCATGCTGAATTCTGTTTATGAAATATAACGCATGTTTTACCATTTAAGACAGTTGTCACTCTTCATTCTTAAAGAAAGCAAAACATAATTGTAGTGAAAGGACCTTTACTGAAACTTAAATTTCAGTTCTTACACCCAGTAAAGGAAGAAGAAATACAATTCCAGTATTACTGGAGAGGTAGTTAACAAATTCTTTTCCTTATCAATGAAAAATGCATAAATTCAATTTTACAGTAAGGAAATAAATTGGACAAATCAAATTTGAAATAAATACTAAAAATGGATAAATCTGAAAATCTTGCTAAAGTCGCAGTGACTTTAAGATCAAAAGCTCTTTTACCATTCATGACTTACCAACCGCAATCTAGCCTGTTTTTATGACATTCTTGCAAATAGGAATGGAAACCTAGAAATTTTCCATTATTTTTATCATCATGGAGACTCCAAAACAGGTTTTGAGAAATAATGTATTCTTTTATGCCAACGTTGTCAGCTTAATGACCAAGAACTTAGCTAATTCATATGTTGAAATATAATAATGTAGTTTCACATTTAAGTAACAACATGAATATGCATTTTTGACTCTATAAAGCTACAACATCACAAAATGCTCATTATACACATTCAGAAGAAAACAAAAGAATATAAGCATGCATCATTTTAAAAGCAAATAAAAACTTACACATGCTCACAACATTAAAGGAGTAAAATGTTATAATTATTATTAATAAACTTAATTTTTAATGTCATAGATTTGAATTTTCTTCAGCAACTTAAATTAATACATTCATGACATTGTTGAAACTGTGTTTTTAGATAATGTAAAGTACAGTCAAAAGTCGTTAATCCGGACTCGTCGGGACTTCGGCGATTCCGGATTATCGATTTTTCCGGATTATAGATCATCAGTTTAAATCTCGTAAGATGACATGCAGAAATTAAAATTAAAATATGAAACCGTAATTTATGAAATAAAGAACAATTATGATCTAAAGGGTATCAAAATTTGCAAAAAGAAAAAGCTTAATATTTATTTGTTTACTTTATTAAACATTTCTTTCAATGTAAGTTGTTTAAGTTTTGCTTCGTTTCATGTGATAATACTTTCTCTTTAATTCTATTAAACAACATAATTTCTTGTTCAGTTACAAGTTCCGCTGTTCAAGTCCTATAATTGCTGTGTCAAGAAATACCGACTAATTTGTCAATCGAAATTTTTTTGTTTTCAATAACCTCTGTCACTTTTCTTCGCTATCGGAAGCGAATTATAATGACGAGAACTTGTTTTAAATCATATCAAAGACGAAGCATATCGAGATGAAATACTACATTTGGTAAGGAATTATAAGCCAAATAAATAAAAACATCTGCGCTGCTGAAGATAAGGATAGTGCTGACAAATCAACTTCCAATTCATTACGCGCCCGCCGCCGAGCAGCGTGAAATTGATAAACAGATTTCGGATTTCAAAACATACTTTCGCTTTAGATCCTTTACATATTAACAATATATATCGGAAATTCTATTTGATATAATCGAAAGTTTAAGCTTACTTTTATAAAATTGCTCTTACAGTCTGCAAAAAATAATAGCCGGATGTAATTCGAAAATTAAGGAACAACGCAATCATCAACATTAACTGAAATAGATAATTATTTAGCTTATACGTCCATTATACATAAAATGCGCGCGCGAAAACGTATTCTGCACTTGCGCACACTCATATGCGCAGTCGTAAAAGGTCTTACGCGCACGCGTGAACGTCTCTGCGCATGTGTCAACGCGGCGCATGCGCAGAAAGTTTTTAGTTTTGATGTCCGGATTATAGATCATTCCGAATTATGGGTGTCCGAATTAACGACTTTTGACTGTAGTATAAGATTCTTTTTGAGAACTTTGATTGCATTAATCAATTCATTATATTTTTAGATTGAAGTCCTGAATAAGCATCTTTTCCTAACATCCAAACCTATGATTTATTTAATTAACCTTTCCGAAAAAGATTATATAAAAAAGAAAAATAAATGGTAAGTCATAGTAAATGTCTTTGTGTTCATAGTAGCAGCTGATGTATCTAAATATATATATATATATATTTGTACCTATGTCTCTTTGGAAATATATCTTAATTCTTCTTTATAGATATGTCACTTGAAAAACAAGCTAAACCTTTACTATCACTCTATTATTAATGAATGGTGAAAATAAAAAAAATGTGTGTCGATTAATACATATGAGTATCATAAATGGAAGAATAAACTAATATATTAACTGTTTTATTTTTCACATTATATTTCATTTGGTACATTAATTTTTAATCAACTGTGAATATACTAAGATGAAATGCTATCATCTTTTTCAATGAATAGTGAAGTTATGTAAATTGCATTTGCATCAGTAAGTTATCTTTTAATGTAGATTTAGTTTTTACCTTGTGTATGGCTGCTATATATACATATATACTATACATTAATTTAATTATTGATAATAATATAATTAGTACAGGCATGATAAGAGATTTACTAGAAGCATACAGCCATAGTTCTGTCATGCTTATCATTTGGAAAAATCTGTATCATAGCTAAGTAACAGAAATTATGGGTTGTATTCTTAGCTGGTAATTTCTATTAATTATATAATTTATTTATTCTTTTATTACTGATTATATTTATGGAATTTTTAATCTTTAATGAGAAATGTAATTTTGAAGCATTAATAATACCACATTGGTTTGAATATAAGACTGTCTTACATAAAAAATAATCCTGAATATTTTAAGCTGTTTTAAAAGACAAAGAAAATTGAGATTTATTTTCATATTCGAATCAATCATTGTTTGAGATAAATATGAGCCATTGTATTTTCTTTTAGCTTAAAGATACTAAAAAAATTATCAACATATTTTTTAGATGTTAGACTAGAGACCTAAAGCCTGATTTTCAGCAGAGCATTACCAGGGGACTATCTTTTATTTGGGTCAGTACATTAAAGAAAAATTTATACTTATTAAAAAAAGAACTGAAGAAAATTGTTCCTAGACATGTGCATTATTAAGAAATTATGTTGCATTGCTTATGAAGCTTTTATCATCGGTAAGAATGCTATGTTATTCAAATTACAAGTGCCATGAAATTAATTCTAAATGAAACTTCTATAACCTCTGAGTACCATTTTTGGTCACTTGTTATATATTAGCTTATAATTTAAGATATTTTGCTTTCTTACTTTCATTAATAATATAAATGCTATCTTGATGAATGTAAGTTTGTGAAAACAGAGACTAAAATAGGTAAATATCCATATTTAGTTAAGACACAATAACACGCCGAATAAATACTAATTCAGAAGTCAAACAACAAAAATCAGCGTTATACGGTTTTGCAGCTGAAGATGGTGGTTCGGTAAAACCATCGAAACTAGTCCTGTGAAAATTTTGTAAATATAAATGCTGATTTTTGTTGTTTGACTTCTGAATTAGTATCCATATTTAGCTTATTAAAGCTCTTTAGTAAATACAGGTTTTCATGATAGATCCAAAAACCCGGCCTGCTCCGAGGGTTAAAACAACCACCTATGAATCCAAGCATTTTTGCTTTTAAGTAAAGGTAGTTGCTTAGAAAGTATAAATCTCATTATCATTATTTAATTATTGTATTGGTTTTCAAGACTTTTTGGAATAAGTGCTATCAAAGATTTTTGTGTATTTTCTGCTAATTTCAGTAATCTTTTAAGAAGTACGAGATTGAAAATTCATCATTGCCTTTTCCTGAGTGGAGTCATACTTACAGTGGCTATATATTTAATTTATATTTGAACAATTTTAACTGCATATAAAAGTCATTTATTTATTTAGGTTGCCAAAAATCAAGGAATGGGTTGATAAAAATGATCCAAAAGCTGCTATAATACCTTTTAGTGGTGTATTTGAGCAAAAAGTTTCAGAAATAGATCCAGAAGAAAGGCAAAAATATTTAGCTGAAGTTGGTGCAAATAGGTAAATTTATTTCTTCATATAAACTTCTTTTTTATTACATTGTATAATTGGTATGGAACAAGAATGGGCTTTTGAGTTTTAAAAAAAAAAAATCATAAAGTTCCTCTTGAGGTAATAATTAGGTGAATTCTTTTATTACAAATGAGGTATTAATAAATGATTTCTATTGTTATTAGAAACTATCATTATTAGTTTGTAGAACTCAGTATTATGTAATATTTTAAAAATAAAAGAAGCATACCAATTTTAGAAGTAAGAAAACATTCAGGGGTAGATTTGGGTTAATTTTTTTGAATAGAAGGCAAAATCAGCATTTCAAGAGTTATCTGCTTTAAACAAATGGTTTTAATACAACTGTTTATTGTTTATACCTTAGTTGTATCTTTCTTTTGTTTGTCATATATTAACACTTGTGAAACTGTTTTCAAATGTTATTATTTTCATTTCACTTAGGATCACACCTTGGCCAAAGCATTGTGTTTTAATTAAATAAAACTTGCAGTACTGCATAACATCTGCATTAAGATATTTCATTTATCTTCTCAGTATAAAACAAAGTGTCAATACTTTTAAAAATTTAAACCAAAGGGAGCCATTTAAAAATGACATGTAGTTCACAATAATATTTTGCAATAGGTTTTATTAATTTATTTATTATTTATTAATATTTGTACCATTTGTGTAATTAATAAAAGTTGTTTCTAATAATGTATATTATATTCCTTTGCTATAAAAATTCCTCTTTACTTTTGCATTATCTGCCCAGTCTTCCCATAGAGTTGCCAGTCATTAATGACTACTTTTTCACCAACCCACATGAAAAACAGTATCATCTTTTAAAAATATGCACCATGCAGAAAATAACGTAAAACAGCAAAAAAAATTACATAACATCCATGACAAAACATTCAAAATTTTATAAACAGTAACAAATTAACTAAATTGAAAACACAATGAATGTCCATAACAAGACACTTAACTTTCTGTTTTCTCAGTTTTCTATCCATGTGCACAGCGATCTGTTTTAGCTTGCAAAAAATCAGAAAATTGCAGAATTCTCTGCATTGCACAAAAAACTGTCACTGTTGTCCATGTATACATTGACCTGTTTTGACTTGAAAGAATGTTATAGAATTGCAGAAATTAACTTCATGGAATGTGCATTCTGCATTATCTACTAGTATGCAAAATGCCATATTTCTGAAAAAGAAAAATCCAATACTTTTCCCCCATTAGCAAGCACACAGTTGCATTACAATTCATTACAAGAAGGGAAAAAAAAAAAAAAAAAAAAAAACTCCACATACTAATGACAGCAAATAAAACCCACAAACATAATTCTCAAATTTCAAAAGTGTGCAAATTATTAACCACAGCTACAGAGATAGGTAGCAGAATTAGGCAGTGGCATAATGTGCACCCAGCCATTAATAGATTACCAAGTAAACAGATTTTCATAAAAATCTGAGTTTCCTTGTTAGGTGACATAGTGCTTTGCTAAGTGATTCTTGTCAAGTTTGGGTCAATAATGTAATAGGACCAATTTTTCTGTTATTTGTCTACTTGTTCACTATCATTTTCATTAAAAATAAAACTTAATGATCATAATAATAAAATTCTGGAAATTTATCAATTGCAAAAATTTGTTTCAGTTATTTTTATTAAAATTTTAATATATTCTGTAATATTTTTGGAGTTAAATTTATATTTTATGTTAAAAAATAAGCAGAGCAAAACTGATATCTGGAACTCTAGATATTTGAACTTCAATTATCCAATTGCTTGGTTTTATGGGTTTTGCTATATAAAATCATGTTTATTGTTAATTTATTTATATGTTTGTAATTTTTCTTTTACTTAAATAATATGAGAATATTTTTTAATAGCGTACTTTTAAATTTAGAAAAGGATCATAGGATACCACACTGTTGGGATATTCTGATTTCTTGTATTTATTGAGGATATTTCTTGTAGTAAAATGGATATATCCAATTGTGCAAATTGGTAGTTTTCCATTAATGCAGCTGCATCTCCATTAATTTTAGTGTGAAATAGTAATCACAAACCTACTGATACATTAAAGATGCATTGTCAAAAATGTAATCACACAGGAATATTTAGGAAAATATTGCATAGTTTCATGAAGTGAATAATTCCATCGGATCCATTGTGGGTTCACAATAGTTTTTGTTTCATGCCATGATCATATGCACCTGCTATTTCACTGGTGTACTAGCAGTAAAATGTTACTCCATCTATTGGTTACTTGAAGTAAATCTTTCATTATGAATAACACCTTTTTTCTGAAAGAATTTAATGACAGATTATTCATCATTTTGTTTCTGTTAAATTACAAAATCTATCTTAGTCCATACATTCCTGAAATGAGTCAAAATCTTGCACTAAAAATGTCTCTGAATCTGCAAATGAGAAGTCACAATGTTTAGCATAATTTGCAATCTGAGGTTGCTAGCATAAAGTGCACTTGGATGCATTTTAATTGATTCCATGTTAACAGAGAAGAACATTGCAAAATGATACTTTTTGGATATACCAGAAGTCTAGCGAAGCTCGACTTGTGTGAAATTCTTTTGTATTTCTTTATATGGAGAAAATTTTAATTTCACTTGGTCTTTATCTCCAAATTTAAGGATACAATGTTAAAATATTTAAATGTAAAAAATTATGTGTGAGTAATGATATGAATTTGAAAAGAATAGAAACGAAATCTGAAATTCGTGTAAGTATGTGATATATGCAAAAATAATTTCAAATTAACAATAATTTAATATTAAAAAAATATTTACTTTTTTATGTTAATGCATCTTTTTCAGCAACCTTGAAAAAATTATAGTCACTGGCTATAGAACTCTTCAACTTATATATTTCTTCACTGCAGGAAAAGATGAAGTAAAAGCATGGACTATCCAGGTAAGTTTACTTAATATGTATTATAGGGAAATATGTGAAAATATTTCTTCACTGTATTCAACTACTATGAATAAAAATATGTATGTATTATAAAAGGTCTGTGGGAATAGGTAGTATTGCCAACGTTTGCATATTATCTATGAGATTATATCAGAAGAAAGTTAGTAAAAGAGGCACTAAACTGATCTTTCAGATAAAATGATTTAGTTATTCTGAAAATTTTCGGTAATGGAAAATTATTTCTGGTTTATTAATTATTTACCTTTTTAGTTTTTTTTTTTTTTTTTTTTTTTTTTTTTTTTTTTTTTTTTCTCCTGACTGAAGAAATGAACTTTTGATTAAAAAACCAGCAATATAAGAGCTTTATATTGGACAAAGCATAAGCTATTTAATCAGAAAACTCGCCAGTTTATAAGAAGTGAGTTGCCACTAGGCAAAACATTATACACATGTCTTTCAAATTTAATTAACAAATCAGCAATTTAAAAAAAAAATATGTTACCACTGCTTGAAATATTTTATTTTCCATGTGTCAGTGATTCGCCATTAAAGAAGTGTAAGGTATTTAATTTTTCTTTCGAATTTGTTTGTTAGTAATTAAAAAACTAAGCTCTTTAAAAGCAATAAATGCACATTCATTTTAATTACTAGCTGGATCTATGAAATTTCATTAGCTGGATTTATTAAAATCAATATATTTGTAGCGTATTTCTTCCCCTAGTTTTTTCAGCATTTGATTTAGAAACTTCTGAATGTGGTAACAATGTGAAATGTATGCACTAATAGAAAGTTATTTTGTGTCAATAGAAAGGATATTATTGAAATAATATAATGTCTTCCATAATATAATGATACATACAGTATACATACTTTGAAGTACATAATATAATGATATTAGTCTGCACTTTAATGTGCTTTTAGATGTAGGCTTTTTAATATGCTGTGTTTATCATTTAAACTGTGTTAGTCTGTTGTCATGGTGTGTTTTCCCCCCTTACAATTTTCAAGTGATAAAATTAGTAGGAAAAGGAAAGTATGCAAGTAAATACAGAAATTTTTAATTTTTTTTAAGTAGTTATTTTAGTCCTCTACCTGTTATTAAATTCTAAGTTATGTTATCTAGCATAGTGAGAGCTGATGTAGGACACTATCACAGCAAAATCCATTGTAATTTTCATGTTGAGGCCAAATTTGAGAGCTACCTTTGTACCTGTATTTATTCTATGAGCAAACTAAATGGGTTTAATTAAATGTAAACAGCTCTAAACTTCTATGCATTAATTTCCACTCCCCTGAAAAATCAGAGAAAATCAAAATATTTTTTTTAAAGAGTTTCTCTAAGAAACGTTAATATTTAAAATAAGAGACAAAAACTGCCATTTTTTTTTTTTTTTTTTTAAGAAGAAAGCATATGAAAAGTTGTAATCTTTGTTTTTCTTGTAAAAAATATGTACACCTCACATCTGATACATTCTTATAAACTCATTTAGAACTTCTACTACTGTTATATTACATCATTCTTTCAGAAATGTAATTTCATTTCTTAAGAAATCATTATATGGTAAAACCTAAACTATCTGGAAAGCTGGGGAAATATCAAATATCGGATAAGCAAAAATTCCAGATAGGCAAAGCATTCAGTTCATGGCAGAATGAATGAAAAAAGAAATTTCTGGTCTAATATTATAAAAAGGAATCTTATTTGTTATTAGCTTGAACATCAAAAGCCTACATTTAAAAAAAAAAAATTCAGTCATTAAAAACCAATGGTTTTTTTTTTTTTTTTTTTTTACTGGCCTTGAACATATGAAATTAAAACCTCTGATCCAATTATGAAATTCCATAAAGGCAGTGAAAATTCTGCTAAACTTGGTCCAATCATTCCAGTGGATATTTGAGAGAACTGATCGTTCTTTATTTAATTAGGTAATCAAGATATGCAAGTTACAAATGTGGCATATAAAAAATTCAAATCGCTTGTCATCTTTCACATTGCATCACTATTGTTTTTCTGTTTTGCAAGTAAAGTCACATATAATGACCATGAATGCACACATTTCTTGGTGGAAGGAATTTTGTAAATAGTCCATTGCATGCTGTTTTGCTTGGTGCAGGTCCCAAATTTTAATCAATACTTAGATATTATCCTGTTGACCATGAAATTTGGCAAAGATTCTGACAAAGTTGCATCAATCATTTCTCCATAATTCTAATCTGCACTTCTATCTACAACTTTACAATAAACCATTCATCAGTTTCTCTTCATAATCCACCAAATAGCCACTGGTATGGTAGTATTTGACACACTTTGCAAAAGAGCATTTGTCGATTTTAATGTTTAAAACATTCTGAGTTCATATTTCCCCACAGGTAATAGTTTTGATATGTTGCTGTTTCGTGGGTTATTGTTTTTCTCATTTAACAGATATTTATTATCTTGACTGTAAATGAACCAGGAGTGCAGTCATATATGTGATTTTTTTCTATTAACAAAAATCCAACAAAAGCACACATGTTATGGATGTGTCATGACATCACACTTATCCATAATTGTTGATAAATCATGCTTCTAGATGACAGTTTCATAGTCAACAGCATAACACGTAAGTACACTGCTAAAAAAAAATGGGACAGTTCTATATCTCCTGTTCTACTGGGCCGATTGACAAAATTCAAATTGCGTTCTTCATGTCTCGAAAGTGCGAATTAGGATATATATTAGATTTATATATAGCTCTAATCTAACATAGTTATTTTGACTCGAAATCGGACTTTTTCTGAAATAACATACCAATTTTTTTCCATATTTCGATTCTACGACTCAAATTATGCCTAAATATTAAATTTTGTAAAATTTGGTGCGAAATTTACAGAGAAATTTAACAATTTATGTTGGCGCTTTTTATTCAGTTTGTGCCAAAATTAGTTCACTTGGCTAACTTCTTAATATATGGCAACGTATTTTCCTTTCCATTTTTACATAGTGCGTGAGAGGAAATGACCCAATCGTTCCTTCTTTCAAATACAGTCAAAAGTCGTTAATCCGGACTCGTCGGGACTTCGCCGATTCCGGGTTATCGATTTTTCCGGATTATAGATCATCAGTTAAAATCTGGAAGATGGCATGCGGAAATTATAAAATTAAATATGAAACCGTATTTTATGAAATAAAGAACATTATGATCTAAAGGGTATCAAAAATTTACACAAAAAAAAAAAAAGCTTAATATTTATTTGTTTACTTTATTAAACATTTCTTTCATGTAAGTTGTTTAAGTGCTTTCGTTTTTATGTGATAATACATTCTCTTTAATTCTATAAACAGTCATAATTTCTTGTTCAGTTACAAAGTTCCGCTGTTCAAGTCCTATAATTGCTGTGTCGAGAATACCGACTAAGTTGTCAATCGAAATTTTTTCGTTTTCAATAACCTCTGTTACTTTCTTTGCTATTGGAAGCGAATTATAATGACGAGGAATTTGATTTAAATCATATCAAAGACAGAGTACATCGAGATGAAGTACTACATTTAGTAAGGAATTATAAGCCAAATAAAATAAAAACATCTGCCCTGAAGATAAGGATGGTGTTGACAGATCAACTTCCAATTCATTGGGCACCACGGCGTTAAAGATAAACAAACATTAAAGTTTAGATAAACAAAGAATATGCCCTTTATCCATTTTTTGCAGCAATTCCACTTTTTGTTTAATGGACTTCGAAACATACTTTACTTTGTAGATCCTTTACATATAGTAAATTATATCAAAATTCTATTTGGACATAATCGAAAGTTCAAGCTTACTTTTATAAATTGCTCTAACAGTCTGCAAAAAATAATAAGCCATATCCATTCAAAGATTAGGAACAATGCAATCTGCAACATTACGAAATAGATATTAGATAATTTAGCCTAGCTTTACCATACATTAAACGCGCACTCGTAAACGTATTTGCGCATGTGCAAAAGTTTGTAGTTTTGAGGTCCGGATTATAGATCATTCCGGATTATGAGTGTCCGAATTATGACTTTTGACTGTATGTTCTTTACTACATTTTAATTATAATGTTATTAATTTTCAGCATTGTTTTCTTTTCGAATTTCATTTAATTGTTTAAGTTCCATGGTTTTCGTTCGAATAACTGTTTTAAAAATTCTATTTACTCATTCGAACTGCATAGTTTAATCAAAGGTGCATCGCTTATTTTTTTTTTTTTAAATAGTTTTCTTTATACTATTTTTTAGTCATAGTTACTATTTTATGTAATTTTTAATTTTTCACTTTTATTTTAATTGTTAGTGTTGCATTGTCTCTTCAAATTATTTAAAAAATTTTCTATTTATTCATTCAAACTGAGCATTTTAAATATATTAATTAATATAAATTTTCCAGAATTTGATTTTATTTATTTGAATTGCCTTTCTTTCAGAAGAATACTTTGTAACCGAGACTATGATGCATTTGAAAAGTGCATATATTAAAAGAGAAAATACAGTAAAGCACAGTTAACACACCTTTCAATGTTCCGTTCAGAAAAGATATACATAAATAAGAGAATGTATAACCGACATTTTAACTTAAAAGGACTTGCATACACTGGCTTTTTTTTATTGTCCATTGCTTACACAATTTTATCCTATTTTGGTTCTTAAAATGTTATTCGTATTTTAGTCAACCATTTATTTTTGAAATCGCAAGTTTAAGATATCATAAATTAAAAGCTTTAAATTAAAAACAAATACTAAATTTTACGCAAAAATTTATTTTTTCTTCTTTTTTTCTTCAGGCATTCTGCTTCATTCTTGCTCTTTTTCTTTAGGCATTCTGCAAGTATATTTAAAAAACATCCAACTTTTCGAAACATCTTGGTATTTCTGACAATCATTTTAAATTAAGTTATCGCCTTCCGTTTCATAAAGGCCCACAAACGGCCTGGCGATAAAGTCGCTGAACACTGGTAGTTCACTCCGGGGTTCGAATCCCGGTAAACGGGCTGGT